GGGAGGCCGGTGTCCTTGGGGCGGGGGGGCGGGAAAGAAGAGGGCGGTGTGGCCCGCCCGGTGTCGCCGCCGGTCATTTGATGCCGGTTCTCTGGTAGCCCCGCACCCTGTTCAAAGGGGAGGGCTATCCCGCGTCTCCTTTCTAAGCCATCCTTCTTCAAGGTGAAGGTGAGGCGCGGAGTCTTCTTCGAAAGAGGCGTCTCAGAAATGAACAGTGTGTCTTCGGCTCCCGAGCTTTATGATGTATAGCGTGGTTTTGTTTTGTTTTTTTTTTTTAATGGAACTTGTCAATCTCGTCCAGCCGGCTGAACAAATACGTACAGGCAGAGGAACAGCTAGCAATTCCGTGCGCTGAAATTTTATAATTGCATTCGTGCGACTGCGGTGGCTGTTTCTGCACACCCAGAGGCTGATGGCTGTGAGGAAAGGTAGAGATCCGTTGTTTCTTGCTCAGGGCGTGAGGGCGGAGGAATGCCTTTAAAGGTGAAGTTTCTCCTGGGATAAACGTACTGAGCGACAACATTTTAGCACCTTGACAACACCATGACTTGGTCAGTTTCGTCCAAACAGCGTGCAAAAATGCAATTGTCACTTAAAAAAAAAATTATTTCGTATTTTAAAAAACACTCAGAGTGGCGGTGCAGAAGGCAGCAGTATGGGAGTGCTTGTTTAATATGTTGTGCGTTCCGTTTTATTATTGTGAAGATAATGTGTGTCTAGAAATAAATTTTATTCTCCTTGTTTCTCCTACTACCTTGCCTTGTTCTAGGTAGTCAAGCCACATACTCCATTAATTAAGTTCCCAGACAGAAAAAGTAGCCCCAGACCTAAAAGTAAGTATTTCATCTGTAGATACAACTTGTGCCACATTTCTTTGCATTAGCTGTTTTATATAAGAGCTAGCATACAATTTTTCTGTTTCAAGTATGCACCTCAGCTGATTTTGAGCAGGGTTTCTGAAACAGTTGTTTTAGTTTGAAGGTAATTCTTTGACTCTTCCTTTTCAGATTCTATACAGCTGTGGGAATACATGTAATACATGCACATCTTTATTTCTTGTTCAAGGCAGATTCACAAAGAATTCCAGTGTTGTTTTCCTACTTATATGTAATAAGTCCTGTTTTTCCAAATACTAATATTTGCCTAAAATGATTGTGGCCAAGTCAGTTTGAAGCAGCTTTAGGTATTTGGTGATATTTGCAGAAACAATGTTGCATTTTCCTCATCTTTTCTTTTCATAGTTGGCATGTGCGATGTCTGTGGTATTTAAAACCATGATTATAGCTGGAAGAGCCATCCCCCTGTACATTTTAAGAAGTATTTCCTTCTGCTACTAATTAATGCTGAGAAAAAAATAATTTCATTGCAATCTTTGACATTAATTTTTATACCTATGTTGATATTTATAGGATTTTCAATACTGTTACGTTTAGACATGAAAGTTATGTGAGTGGTAACGTAGGTTTAATGCTCCTTTTGAGTCAACAAAGCATTTGAAACTAAAGTAGGAGACATCTTAATAAGCTCTGTTACGTTATTCTCTCTTCTTTAGAAATACCGTACCATGTTATTTGCAACAGCATTATCACGTTTGTGATTTAGCTTTGAGTTTAGTTCATCCATTAACATTGCAAAGTGTCTACAGTGCACATCAGTGCCACTTCTGACTTAGCTGTGAACTGTTCAGGAACTATTTTCTGTGATAACTTTCTGTCAGAATTCTGTAGTTGCGCACAGTCAGCCCAGTGCACCACCTCTCATACCAGTGAACTGCTTTATCAAAGGCTTAAAAACATGTTACTTACCTCTTGTTTATCTCTTAATCGGAAGATTTTTGTGACTGTATCTTTTCACTGTGTTAGACTTTCCTGTCTTAATCAAGTTCTGTCATTTCATCAGTAAATTTCAAGCTACCTCATGCTGCTTGAATGCTGTAGCAATAACTGCATTTCACTGTACCAGGCTGTTGCTTTTACGTGGTTTTACATAGCCAAACAGAGCTCTGCAGGTCAAGACGTGGGTGCTTGAAAGGCCAGCCAAATTTTTTTACCATATTACTACTGCAACATGATGGTCTTAAAAAGAAAAGGGAAAAATGTAGTAGAGACTGTATCTGGGCTAAAACAATAGCAGTATTAAGTATGGTGCTTTTGAGTCTCGACTTCTGATGTTTTTAATTGGGTAATGCATCTACTCTGACTACACTTCCAACTGAAACATACAATACAGGAAAGGCCTTGGCAAATCTCTAGACATTGTTGTGATCAACGAAACAATTTTGGAGAAACTGTTTCCTGTTTTTTCATATAGAAGGTGTGTTATTTCTTGAAACAAAATACTTTGCCCCCATTCAGAATATGCACATTCTGATGGGCTGTCTTCCTCCTCACTCCATCTGGGACCTTCCATTGTTCCTGAACCACCCGATCAGCTTGGGACTTTCAGATACAGTCTTCTGACTGAGAACTTCTGAACATGCCTCTCAGTGGTTATGTGGTGGTTTTATTTACCAATGGTGGTTTGATCACATTGTGGCAGGTGTCTAATGTCCCAATACTGCCATTGACTCACTATGGCTAAAACTGTCTCCTCTCCTTTGTCCTTATTGGTCTTGTTGGAGGCAGGAGGGAGAGAGGCAGGCAACGCTATGGTATTTTAACTCCTTGCATTCTTTGATTCATCCAGTCTCGATGCAGCTTCTTTCATAACCATATAGTCCCTGTGTCCCAGCTGTTCCGATGTTGCATCTGTCTTGCTCATTTTTCAGGAGCACTGAGAGAGGCTTCCTGTGGAAGCGTTCTGCTTTATCAGGTGTTTTAACCTTATATGTAGAGGTCTGAGTGCTTATGACGTACACACACTGCTGTGAGACTCCATCCTGCCTGGTGGGGTAATTGCGTACTTCCATTGTCAAATCAGCCGTGGTGGGACAGAGCTAAGGTTCAGAATGATGGCTTTGACAACACTGCCCTTTTGTCATCTCTTCTCCTATCCTCAACCTCGAGGCACCTTCTCTAACGTGAAGTCCTTCAGCCTAGCTCCTGGCCCTCACCTGTAAAGTACTTCATGCACTCCTCGGTCGCTACATTTCATTGACATTGATTGCTGATGCCCGGTATTTGGTGGCCACTCTGCATATCATTTACAAAATTTGGTATGATCCATTTTGTGATATCAAAAATGAGTACAACACTGCATTGCATGTTGTGGCATGTCACAGTTGTGAGCTTCATCTTTCTGTAAGCCTCTACTTCTTTTTCACTTGTCCGTCTTTACAATCGCAGTAAAAAAAAAAAAAAAGCATAATCTCAGTGGATCTTAGTTATTTATCACAGTTACCTTTCTACGTAATTGTCTCCACACACACATTTATGATACTGCATGCTTTTTCTGCAAGTACAGCTTCCCAGTGAAAAAGCCTTTGTTTGGATATATGCTGATTTATCTTCAGTTTGTACATCAGTATTTCTGCCACTCAAACATGCTTCCTTTTACTGTCAGAGTCTTTTCACTATCCTCTTGATCTATTTAACAACAATAAAAACAGGTTGTGTAATTCTTTTAAGTATTTGTTATCATGAAGAAAATTGTTAATAACTGGTAGCTTGTATTGGATGCTCATTAATTAATTTAAAGTCTTGTTACGTCTCTGTAAATGGTTTCGCAATCTGCGTTTCAGTACAGGAGTCTCTACAAGCAAGCGTGCCATCTCTCCATGCTTCAAAAGCACAGGAGTCTGTAGGAGGCAGATCACCGGCCTTTCAAAAGATTTCGCCTGTTAGTACAGTACAAGGTACACCAGACACTTCTGAATTAGCAAGAACCTTACCTCAGAAATACAGAAGGAAACTTATGTCAGAAGAAGAGATTGAACTTATTCAAGTAAGTTTCATTTATCGGTGTGTATTGTTTGTATTTACCTAGCATTCAGCTTATTTCTACACCTCCTTCAAAGTTTCAAATCTGGTATTGCATTGTAATTCTTGGTAAGGGTGCGCTCCCAGCTTTCATGGCTTTGATGCACACTACCCAAGCTACAGATTCTTAACACACAAGGTACCCAACTCTCACCAATTAGTAGCAGCTTGTAGTATTGCTGAGTAGAGATACAGACATGAAACAGACATGCAGATAGCTAGCCATAGTTGATCATAGCCTGTGTTGATCGCTGTCACTACCTGTTTCGTAACAGCTGTTTAATGTGTAATTTGAATGTGCTGGACAGGAGCCCAGGAGTCTGCTCTTAGACCAGCGAAAGCTATTACCAACTGACTGAAGTCCAAAATATTTCTCAAAGTAGTTTTTCTAAGTTATTTATTAGTAAGTTAACTCTTGTATTTCTAGTAGTGGAAACATTTTGTTAAACTTGATAGAAATATTTTCTGCAATATTTGTAAGTATGGCATTGTACATGAAAGGCAAGAAAAACCTGCTTTTCTTCTGTAACAATTCTCTGTTGTAAACACTGGTGCTTAAAATGGGAGAATGTACAAAATTTGAAGCACTTGTGAGATGGGTGTGCGATTGAAATGAAAGACACTTGCCTAGCTTTGTTAAATGACAAGGACACCTACAGTGTAATCGTGTTAGTAGAGGAAATTAGTTTTCCTGCATGTATGTCTATAACAGTGCAATAGAAGATTTGATCTCCATTTCGTGTTCTTTTATGGAATATATTTAGCTGTCTGCTTTTCTTTTACAGCGTGGAGGTCGAGAGTAATTATGGAAGATAGTTCGTTAGTCACCATTGAAGAATGAAGTGCTGCATTCACAATAAAGGCATTTCCTTAATATTAAAAATTATTGTATACTAATAGCTTTAATAAAAACCCATGTGAAGGGTGAGAAGGTTGACACAACACACTATATATAAACTTGTGATTAAGAAGGATTTTGTGTTGATGGCTAACTAGCAATTGAATATATTTGATGTCCACACCATTAAAATATTTTTCTAATTAGCCATTTGCAAACTTGAAAATAGAACTGAGTCATTTTATTTTTCTACCTTAAAAGATTTGGTTGTCCCATCAGGAATGATTTTACGGGCAGGAAAGGGACACTGAGGTATTCTCAGAGATGATCGAGACTTTGTGGTTGTTCTGAGCCGTTGCACAGCTTTGATTGGGCAGTTGTGCAGCAGCCACTTTCCCTGAATATCAGATCTGAGGTTGGGAGCAAAACTGAAAAGGTTATCACAGAATCATAGACTGGTTTGGGTTGGAAGGGACCTTGAAGATCATCTAGTTCCACGCCCCCACTACGGGCAGCGACACCTCCCCCCAGACCAGGTTGCTCAAAGTCCCATCCAGTCTGGCCTTGAACACCTCCAGGGGTGGGGCA